TAGCAACTGGTTAGCCACTAACTCAGATGTGGTGGCTAAAGTCACCTTCACCCCATTCCCAACATGCTATTGAAGGTCAGGGTTAATAATTAACTTGTTTTGTTTTTTTCTGGTAAAGGGTGCCAGCACACCCATCAACCAGTGGCTGTTCTTTTTTTGAGTGTCTGAAAAAAACTTCAAAGAACAGTTCAATTCTCCCTTTTGGTGAGTTGGCGGGGTCTGCTCTCCTCATGCCGGCCTCTCAAGGCAACTGAGGCCAAGCTCATGCTTCTCAGCGCAGACACAAGCAACTACAGAAGAGGCACCCAGCCACTGGCACCAGTGCGGGGCTCTGCGTTCAAGTCCTCTGCCAGGAGAGAGTTAAGGGCTTGAGTTTAATTTGCCCGTTAATCACAGTTAAAAGAAGTAATGAGCGTCTCCCCAAAGCCTGGGTGTTTCTCTGCAGATTAAGCAGCAATTTGCATAGCCCCTTTATTCATTCCCACCTTCCCCTGTGGGGCGGCTTGTCCTTTCAGACACAGCCAAGCGCAGCCGGCGGCGGGATCAGTTTGACAAATGGCTTTGCTGTGCGCCATGGTTTGGGCGAGAGGAAGGGAGGGGGGACACTGGGAGGAGAGGGCAGCTCCAGACAGTAATGGATAGCTGGGGAGTTAAATAGTGCAGAACTTTTTATTAGACACACAGGAGAAGTTTAAATATTCAAACTGGTTTTCTTTGGAGCCTGGGGAAGGAGAGGAGGGTGGTAGGGTGACTAAGGCAGGGTTTACTCAGGGCCAGCCTATTCAGAGGCTCGACCCTGTCACCAGAGAGGAAGGGCATCTGGAGGACACGGGCAGGACCTGGGTCAGCTGGTACTCCTGGGCGCCACAGCCCTGCTGCAGCCCTGACACTCCCTCCTGCTGGGCTGGGCTCTGCCAGGCAGGATGGCAACATGAAGACAGCTTGGGACCTGCCTGCTCAGAGCACAGTGCAGCCAGCCCAAATCCAGTGTGTGTGGCGCTCGTGAGGCCCAGCCTTGCTAGCCAAACTGGGCCTATATTGCAATGGAATTGCCAGGAGAATAAACCTCTAGCCCTTTGCTCCCCTCAAATAGGGAAAAGGGTGGAGAGCCAGGCCCTGGAGGTTCTTAGAGGCCTGTGTTCTCCCTTCCCTACTGGTAAGGGGAATTCAGTCTTGTTTGTTTGTATTTCTTTGGTTTGGGGGTTTGGGAATTTGTTGGTGGGGGGTGTTGAGACAGGGTTTCACTATATAGTCTAAGCTGGTCAATGAGGCCATTTTTTCCCCCTAGTGCTGGGGATGGAACACGTCAGGCAAGAACTCCATCACTGAGCCCTTGCCCACAATCAGCCCTTTCTCCTCTTAGTTTTTTGACAAGGTCTCAGTATGTGAGCCTGGCTGGCTTGGAACTCATAGAGATCTGCCTGCTTCTGCCTTTGCCTCTGCCTCTGGAATATTGGGATTAATGACAATATCACCATGTCTGTGCATCTCCCACAGACATGGTCTCCTTGTGTAGTCTGGGTTGTCCTTGAACTCATGATCTTTCTGCCTCAGTTAAAATGGACAGAATCTAAGTCCAAAGTATGAGGCCATGCACCTGTAATCCCAGAGCGTGGGAAGCTGAGGCAGGAGAGTTTAAATAGGGCAACAAAGGCAAAAAGGGCCATAGTAACAGAAAAGGCAGGGTTGAAAGAAAAAAAAAAAAAAAAAAAAAAAACCAACAAAGAGGGGACAGAGATGGTGTACGGATGGGGATAATGAACGTAGGGTGGGACCAGGACCAGGCACAAGTTGCCAGCTTTAGTCTAGGATATCCCTATCCTATCCACTGGCACAACACAATGACAGCTGGCATTGGGCTTCACTATGTCGGGTCTGTTCTGCCTGCTCGTCATTCCCTATGGTCAGCAGAGCCTTTTCCTTGGTTTACAGAAGGAAATAAGCACAGATGGGTCTAGAAACTGATCTCAGGTCGAACAAGCAGCAGGAACAGGACTTAAGCCAGGAGCCCAGAGTCTACACTGCACTGTTGTTATCATAGTTTTGTGTGTTGAGACAAAATCTCGAATAGGCCAAACTGGCTTCAGACTTTATTTATAGCCAATGGCAACCTGGAACTTCCCACCCTGCCTCGGCCTCCCAAGTGCCACCCAAGTATGGATGTGTCACCACGCCCAATTCATGCCATTTTGGATAGAATCGAGGGTCTCCTGCTACAGGTTACAGCTATGTCATAGGGCTGTGTCCCAGTGTCTTCCTGTTATTATTAGAGTAAATGTGCTGAGTGGGGAGAGAATACACAAATGTGGTCAAACATGTGGGGATGTTGGCTGAGGGCATGAGTGAGCAGGGCCACAGTTCCAGGCTCCTCTCTCTGGGCTGGGTGTGCTTTCCTTCTGGCCTGGGCTCTAGGCCCTGCTGTGGAGCAGGTGATTATTTTTTTGGATGCAGCTTGTTCCTGCCCTGTGCTGGCAAAGAGAACAAATGGGTTCTGCCTGGTGGGCATGGGGGTGGGGGGGTCCAGCCTTGGTGGGCATGGGGGTGGGCCCGCACTGGGACAACAGAACTGATGAATAATGCTGACCATTCTGCTTAGCGTATGCTCAGTCAGTCACAGGACTCTGGAAGAGGGGGCCCTACTTTCCTATGTGAATCAGGGGGATGGCACTAAGGAGAAGAAATGGGAGAAGAGTCAGCATCAGACTATGCTTTCCCCTTGGCAATAAATTCACACCAAAAAGACTGCTGTGCATGTATGTATCTTGGCCCACGGCCTCCCTCTTTCCCTGAATGTCTTTGAAAAGTCTGACAGCTGACTGCTGGGAACTTAGTCTTCAAGTTTGCAAGGAGCCCTTGCTTCTCCCTTCCAAGAAGACAGGTCGGGTCAAGAAGAGTCCTCTGCGATGCCCACCATGTAAAGCTTAGAGCCCAGTGTCAAGCAAGCCCCGGGAGCACTGTGCAGCTCAACTCATTAACCCTGTGTCATTCTGAGGAGAACAAGCGTGGACCTAAGTGTCCCAGAACAAAGTTAAAGGGGTTCAGAAGTTGACCCCCCAAATCAATTAGAGCTGCTCCCATAGCCCCCCAGGTGGGTTTGGTGTATCTGGCCAGCTGGGAGGTGTGCCCAGAAGGTGGTGGAGCCCAAGGCAAAGGAAGCTAAAGGTTCTGAACTACACTAGTACTGTCAGTCTGGGCCTCGAGGAAACTGTGTCTCTCAGCCTAGGAGTCAGGGAGAGCTGCCACATTACCAGGCAATGGGACAGGCACAATCCGAGGGAGAACAGTGCCCAAACCCCTCTGCTTGCCACACTGTGTGCTCGTCTGCTGAAAGGTCTTCTGACATAAACTGCTTCCCTTCCTGGGGCACTGGAACCATTTCCCTGCTGGCCGGAGGTCAGGCGCTCATGTCTGGCAGGAACAGGAGCCTCGAAGGCCAAATCCAGCCTGGCACATGACCCTGTGCACTTCTCCCCACAGCCTGGGCCTTGTGAGCAGTGGAGTCTGGAACAGCTGGTGACTAGGCGGGGGCATTAGACCGGGCAGGGGTAGCATGCCTCAGTGAGCTGGGCAGGGACATTAGACTGGGTAGAAGTAGCATGCCTCAGTGAGCTGATGGCTGTTGCACAAGGCTAGCCAGACAGACAGTCCTTAGAGCAGATGACCAGTTGGGGTGGGAGGTGGCACGTATGTGCTCAGACATCTGGATGGGAACCAAGAAGAGCAGACAGGCCCCAGGACTTGGGCCTCCAGGGCAACTGCCGACAGAAGGACCTCACACTTCTCTAGGTCCTTCCATTCTTAGGACAGCTTTCTGACAGCAGTCTTCCCTTTCTCAATCCCTAGGCTTCTTACTCCAGCTTGATTCCTCCAAAAGGAGGTGACCAGGCAGAGATTGGGGGAAAGCGTAGGGTTGACAGTAATCGATAGGCACGCCTCCGAACAGTCCGTGCGGTCTTATCTCTCTCCTTTGGGTAGCGTGTGTCCGCCGGAGTCCGCGGGGTCGGTGATTAATAGGGGCCATCACTCACTGTCCTGGACGGCTGAGAGGCAGCAGGGAGGGCCCCCCCCCCAGAACTGAGATAACAAGCAGCAGGAATAATGAGTGGTGTCACTCCACTTTTCATTTTGATGGAAAGTCATTACGGGAGTCAACGCCAGCGACAAAGAGCCATGAATCAACTGCTCTGCTATGAAATTAAAATCGAATTGCTGGCCACCCCCAGCCCCTATCCTTCCTGGGAAACAGGGATGGGTAGGTGGCTTGGAAGAGGGGTGCTATCCTGGGGTGCGCTCTACCCAATCCCAGAGCAGGCAGTTATAGGCAGGAAGTGGACAGGCAGCTAGGAAAGGCGACAACTCCTGTCTCCACCTTGTTTACCAGACCCTGCCTCCCCAAACCACATCTCCCCTCTGCCTAAAAGGTAAGCTGTGATTAAGAGGAAAATACAACTTTGCAGTTCCCAACAGGGTTGATAGACTGCTCTCCCTGGGCTGCTGGCTAGGGTGGGGGCAGCATGATCCTGATTACAGGATGGGGCAAACTGTACTGGCCACCCCAAAGACCCCTGCTGAGCCATCTGTAAATATTTATGGGAACTGCTACCACAGGAAGCAAGAAGTCTCTAACGTGGGGCTCTACAGTCACTGAAGGCCTCCTGGACTAAGAATCCAGGAAAACATGTGCCCAGCTTCAGCCGCATACAGGCCCAGGGGAGACGTGTACATAACCACAGCAAGAACGTCTTTTCCTTTTTTATTAAGCCCTACTTGATAACCAGAAGGAGGAGCTGTGGCTTCAGGGTGACAGGCCATAGGACCACTCAACACACTTCTTGTTGAGATCATAATGAATGCCAGCGTCACCATTCAGGGGACACTTCCTGCACATGGCTCTGTCCCCACGCCTGCCTGGCTTCTTGCTGGTGAGGCCCAGTGACACCAGCTTGGGTTATCCCATCTCCACCTGGAGGCTGGGGAGCAGAAGACAAGGGGGGGGCGGCGGCATCACAGAGAAGTCCCCATCAGGTTCACGGGACGGCCACTGTACCTCTTGGAGATGTCAGCTTCAATCTGAGAGACAGAGGGCAGAGTGGGCAGGGAGCAGACAGGCAGGTGCAGGGCCTCCCGGGCCGGCTCCTGGCGGGCGTGTCTCACCAGCTTCTGCAGCTCCCTGGTCTTCTCTAGCAGCAGGTCCAGCTTGGGTTCCAGGGCCGCCTGCTCCCGGAGCACCTCCTGCTGCTTTTCCGCCATCAGTTCTTCCTTCAGAGCCAGCAGCTGTGACTGCTTCAGCTTCTGCTGGAGGAACTCCGTCACTCGGTCCACGTACCTGTGCAGGGCGCCCAGTGAGACTGTCTGCCATTTAACGGCTGGCCCAGGTGAGGCTCAGGACACCAACAGCTGAGCTGGCCTCCCCTCCCCTCACGTCCTTCAGTACTTTTTCTGGTAAGGAACATAAACCATTCCAGATTCCTACCTACTTGGGGAGCAGATTCTGTCTGCAGACATTAATCAACCCTATCCCTCCCCCAAAGAAAAACCCTATTCCCTGCACATAGGAAGGGGGAGTCATGGAAGACAAGGGAGAGAGCTCCATTCAACATGGAGAAACACAGATATCAGAAAAGCCAACCTTGGCGAGGCCAGAATCATAAACAAGTGCTGCATTCGCAGACTGGTGAGCCGGCCAATGAGATCCTGCAGTGTGGACACCAGGCTGAGCATCCTCTCTTTGGTCTGGCCCTGAAGGATGGAGGGAGCCAGCTGGAACTGGCTCACCGACACGATGTCGGCCTCCTCACTCATCTCCACTGCTCTCTGGGACAGGAAGATCTCCAGCTAAGGAGGGAAAGGGAACTGGCTCAGGTCAAGAGAACTCAGAAGCTGAGCCTTCCAACAGGAAAAGCCAAACTCTAGAGGAGACAGCCTCCAAACAGCCCATTGCTGGAAACCCACATCTACAGTGTGGCAATAGACAGCAGCCCCCACTGTTAGTCCAGCCCCCATGGCGACCTGTGTCTGCTTAGCCCTAGCTTTCCATCCTTCTTCCCCAGCCTCTGGCCACACAGCTGAGACTCCTAGGGCAGGTGCCAATTTTCTCTCCATCGGAGGAATGACAGTGGGAGTGGAATCACACTTGAGAACCCCTGATTAGGAAAAGTCTAGAAAGAATGTGAGCAGCAGCCACGTCTCACATGTAGTCTTTATGAGTAAGTTAATCTTGGGCTGGGTAGATAGCCTGATACCAAGTCTGATAATCTCACCCATACGGTGACAGGTGAGATGCCACAAGGATGTCCAGTTGTCCATGGCCCTCTACCTGTGCTGTGGTACAAATGTGCATGTGTGCACACACAAATAAATAAGCACAATTTTCAAAGAAGAAAAAAACCCTATCTTACTATGTTAAGAAAACTGGGTATCGCCAGGCCGTGGTGGCGCATGTCTTTAGTCCTAGCACTAGGGAGGCAGAGGCAGGTGGATCTCTGTGAGTTTGAGACCAGCTTGATCTATAAGAGCTAGTCCCAAGACAGGCTCCAAAACAATACAGAAAAATCCTGTCTTGAAAAACCAAAAAAAAAAAAAAAAAAAAAAAAAAAAAAAAGAAAGAAAGAAAGAAAGAAGAAAACTGGGTATCTTTTATCCCCCCTCTCCCCTTGTGGCTACAAAAGGAAAAAGGGGAGGAAACCAAAGCAGAATTTCTAGGCTTGCCATGTACCTGAGGATGACCCTGAAGTTCAGATCCTCCTGTCCCTACTTCCTGAGTGCTGGACTGCAGGAGTAACTACTACACTCGGTTTGTGTGGTGGTGAGAATCGAAACCAGAGTGTCCTGAATGCTGGGCAGACACTCTACCAACTGAGCTACATCCCAGCCCCCTTGCTTCCTGAGGACTTGTGGCACCAGTACCATCGGATGTAGGGCACACTCATCTCACTCCCTATCTGCTCTTCGTGCCGGAGTATAAATGCCAGAGGCAAGACCTCTGAGTGTCTTTTTTTCACTGCTCTAGCTCTACTATCCAGGATGTACGCTGGAGATGAATCAAGTGTATTGTAAATACAAGGATGGTGGTGGTGGGCTCCTAACTTGTAAGGCTCTGCTCCAGGATGTTGAAATTAGTCAATACCCTTCCTTCACATAGCAGGAAGGGATTAAAGTGATGTCACCTGTGTGAGAACCTGGTCACCCCCCCCCCCATACCTTCCAGAATACAGTACCTCCATCAGCTCATCAATGAACTGATTCCGGGTCTCAGGGTATTCAAGAAGAGTAAGAGCATCTGAGCCCCTAGCAACGCCCTCTGGAGCTGTCAGAAAGAGGGAGAGGCAGGGATGTGAGGATGGATCCAAAGACTAGGGAAGGAAGACTCTATGGACACAGGCTCACTTCACTAAAGCCCCCTCTTGGCCCCACCCAAGGGGGAACACTACCCTCTTCCATGAGTCTCAGTCCTCATCAGGTCTGGCCTGCAAACTCCCATGCAGATTCAGAGGCAGCTGGTAGCAGGAGGAGGTAAAGTGTCATCCTGCACTGCCCTCTAGTGACACAAGTGGCTGCTACAGCATCTCTACATACTTGGGAAGGTGTGGAAGTCATGTCAGACCCAGAGCCCAACAACTCCTAAACAGTTTACTGAAAGAAACAGTTTGGCCCACATACAGTACAGTCTCTAAGACAGATCAGAGTTGGTGGGTGAAACATGGGGGCGCACGCCTCAATTCCCAGCACTGGGGAGGCAGATACAGGAGAGTATCTATGAGTGTTAGGGAACCAAAACCAAGACAAAACAAATGCAAACCAAAGAAGAGAGCTTAGTCTCTAGACTTTATTTAGCTACCTCTCTCTACCCACTTCCATTCACATCCTCATTAAGATTGATTTTTTTAAAAGCTCTGTTTATTGTGCATAGTGTTCTGTCTGCATGCATGCCTGCAGGCCAGAAGAGGGCACCAGATCTCATTATAGATGGTTGTGAGCCACCACATGGTTGCTGGGGACTGAACTCAGGACCTCTCAAAGAGCAGCCTGTAACCTCTGGGCCATCTCTCCAGCCCCCAAGATTGATGTTTGTTTTTATGAGACAGGATCTCACATAGCTCAGGCTGTCCAAATTCACTGCTCGAGGGTAACCCTGAACTCCTGCTTCTCCCCTCTTCAGGGATGCAGGGGACAGAGCACTTACCCTCGGTTCCTGTCTCCAGCACGGTGATCTCCGGAGCAGCAGTGTCGTCACTCCAGTCTATCCTGTCACCCCCAGCATCCTGGATACACAGCAAAGACTCAGCAACATCAGAATTGGTCCCCTAACCCAGGGAGCCAGAATAGACCAAAACCCCTGAAAAGTCCGGTGACTGTAGCCCCAGTGGAGTGAGGGCTACAGCCCGGTGCAGGGGCAAGTGTGGTGATGGTGGGCTTTAATGATGCCATCCTCCTTCGTGCTTGGTGAGATTACTGCCTATCTGTATTCATGTACTCCACGCTCCAGGAGGAAAGAGTTCTAAAACCACGTCCCACTTTTGTAGCTCTGCCTCCCTTAGGAAGCACCTGGCCTTAGAACCAAAAACCATCACATATCCAGATGTTTTCCATGGCTGAAGCAGGACCACTCAGAGACAAACCTAACTAACCTTTGACTCTGATTCCAGGGAGATACCCCAGTCTATTCCAGGGGTCTCCACAGAGATGGCAGAGTCGGAAATGGCCTCCACTCCAAAGTCACCCCAGTCAATCTAAAAAGCAAAAATGACGTCAGTGCGAATGAGGCAGGTGAAGAAAGGGAAAGCAGTTTGCCTCTGTAGGTCTCAGCGCCATGCAGAGAGCCACACAGCCAACTGCTCTCCTTTTCCTTCATGGTGGGAGTCCAGGTCAGTCAGGGCTTGGGTTTGGGCTTTGTGTGGATGGGGAGCAGTGCCCACTCAGCTCCTCACAGGGCCTGTCTTACCTCATCTTCTTGCACCTGCTCAGGAGGCTCCTCCAGTTGAGGCCGCTCCACCACAGAGGGCTCTGTCCCTGTCCTCCACTCATACACTGTTGAGTTTCCCCGCCTCTGCACGTACCGCAGCATGGGCAACACCTGCTCTGTGGGGCTTCAACAGAGCATGTTAACTGAGCGCTCCCACGACCCCTTGGCTCCATCCTGCACCACATGGTCCAAGGGGCGCATCCTCCACTGTCCCAAGCTGTATGAAACACAGCTGCTGTGTTATATGGGAACAATACAAGTGGAGAAGAGGCAGAGGGACCAGGGAAAGCACCACCTGCTCAGGGGCAGTCAAAGTCCTCCTTACCTGTCACACACAAACTCCACGCAGGCCTGGTACAGCTCTATGGCTTCCCCCAGGGCCTGAGTTCCTGCTCCTATCTCAGCCAGCTGACTTGGCAGGTCCTTCACCAGGGCCAGGAGCTCTCTTCGGACATTGTCTCCCTAGAGTTGAAAGAAGGGAAGGGTTAGGTCACACATAGTGAGAGGTAGAAATCATTAAGTCAAAGAAAACGCCGAAGAATGCAGATAGGTGAGACACTGACCCAGGAGGGCACAATCCAGCTGTGAAGGAAGCCTGCCAGCTGCAGAGGAGTTGGGCCCAGAGACTCTCCCACTGTGATGCCACGCCCACTCACCGTGATGCCGTACTGTTTGCATGAGTGGTAGAACTGCTCACGCATCTCAGCAGCCCCAGCCTGGCTCTCTTCCTCCTTGCGGCTGTATTCTTGCTGCAGCTGCTGGCACTTGGCAATCTGCTTCTTCAGTGAGGGGATCTCATAGCTGACATTCCGAACCAGGAGGCTAGAAAGTTCCACTGAGGAAAGCCCAGGAAATTTACTATGGAACGCCCTTGCCCGAAGGTGCACACAGATACCATAGCATGGCGAGGAAGGAGTTAGCTTCTCAGCTTCTCCATTCCTAGCTCTGGGACCAGAAACAAGTTATGTACCTTCTCTTCTTCAATCCTCAGCTCCCAAACAGGGACTGTGCAGATCGCGTTTATCGTGCAGATCCATATAAAATGCCAACCAGAACCCCTTGCACTTAAGTGCCTGGTATACTATCCAGATTCACAATCCAAACTACAACCAGCCCATTAGCTGCTCTCTCAGGCTTCCAATATGGCCTCCAGGATGACTCATACCTCTTCTGCCTACTGTAGACTAGGAATGCAGAGAGACTGGGGGCAGTACATGCTACCTCCCAAAGAGAGACGAATAGGTCAGACACCTGCTCAGTTGAGCATACAAACGTCCACTTCCTGTCTAAGCATCCTTCTCCCCCAGCACTTGAGGAACTGTTTCTCACACCTACAATCAGGCAACATCTGTACTGCACTGCATTTCCTCCTATGTGGTGTTTCAGAACCCCAGGAGTGGGCTTCTCCATGGATGCTAGGGCCACTTAGGCTCACTTTACCTAAGTAGGTGTTGTCCTTCTCATACAGGCCTATGATCTCCTGCCAATCCTGAGAAGAACAGAGAGGAAAACAGTCAGGGGGGCACTCAGCAGCTTCCCACAGACAATCCCTGCAGAGGAGGCTGCCCCAGGCTTCCTAGAGTACCAGACACAAACTCCTCGCCTTCCTCCAGCTTTAACGGTGGCTGGACACCCCATGTGATTCTGAGATTATGATACCTAACAGTGATTCCCAAAGGTCTGGATATGCAAATCCAGCATGACTTTAGCATAAATTATAGGGACAAAGAAAGATCAAGAAATATACTATGCAGGTATTTTGACTTGTTCATCCAGGGGATTAGAGAGGCTGTGGATTGGATGCCCCCAACGTCACATTACCAGTCCTTGGCCGCACTTACCTTCATCCGCTGTGAAGAGTACCGGCCAAAAATATTTTTGGTGGAGGCCTCGGTACCTTTAAGAAGGTCTACTATTCTTAGGCAGTGGAAGTAATGAATGTCTAGAAAGCAAGAATGGGGAATTTCAGAATTCTATCTTAGGCAGTGGAAGTAATGAATGTCTAGAAAGCAAGAATGGGGAATTTCAGAATTCTACTATCCTTCCTCTCTGTTCCTGTGGCTACTGAGGGTGGCTGACCTGCGTATTCTGCTGCCAGTTACTTTAGCATGGAAGAAACCAGCATCTACAAGCCAGAAACCAAACCAAACCAAACCAAACCAACCCTCTCTCTTGGGGTCAGCTCAATAAGGGAACGGCTTGGTAGACACACAGGATTCCAGAAAGAAGAGGGACTCCAGTGACACAACTCCAAATCACTCACAGGATCCAGAGAGGAGCTGGGCAATCTCTTGGCTCTCTGGCATGTCCTGGATGGCAGTGTTGATCTTCTCCCGGATGGTCAGCACCAGACTTTGCCATTTTAGGTTGCAGTGTCGTCTGTCCACGAGCCAATCTGTATGAGGTGAGAATCAGTCAGTGGTCACAACCTGTCACACCTCCAACTCCCCATCAGGAATTCACTAGTTCAAGTGTCACATACTGGATATTAAAAAGCAGCTGTTTTTGTATTGGCTAAGATATCAGAGGGAGAAATGGGAAGATGAAAAGGCAGACAGACTCTGAGAGGTGCTTGGGCTAAACAAGCTCCGGCGCCCCGACTTTATCCCCAGTATGAGTTTTACAGAGCAACTGCCTCAACACAGGGATCAAGAAAAACTTTAAATTGGTCCTGACATGAAAGTGCCACTTTTGACCATTCTAAATTCTCCATAATATTTTGCTTCTGTGGGTAATTATAACTTTCTTGTTGACAGAGGGTGCTGCTCAACTTCCATTTCCTCAGGGCTGGGATTAAACATGACAATGGAAAACACAACGTGGTTATGCCAACTACCGGATGAATGAACAATTGCAAAGCCCTAAGAGCTACAGTGCCCCAAGAACTGGATGTTAGTTGATGGTCTGTTCTTTTTTTTTGGGGGGGGGGTTGTTTTGTTTTGAGACAGGGTTTAACTACAGAGCCCGGACGACTATCTTGGAACTCATTATGTAGACCACTCTGCCCTTGGACTCCTAGAGCCTGCCTCTGCCTCTCCAGTGCTGTGATTAAAGGTGTGCTCCACCACTACCTGGCCAAGTTGCTGGTCTGTTCTTAACAGTGAAGTGCCGTGCTGCCATATGACTACCAGTGTAACTGACCTGGTTTTGAGGCCTAAGAACCTCGCTCATCTCCTAAGGAGAGAACTAAGGTTTTACAATCAGATGGTCCTGGGGTCGAATTATCATGTTTATTTAAAACATTTTATTAAAAACTTATTATACTTGTTTATTTATATACACAGTGCATGTGTGTGTGCACACACAAGTGCCACAGCTCACATGTGGAGGTCGGAGGACACTTCTGGGAGCCAGCTCTCTCCTTCCACCATGTGGGTCTTGATTGTAAACTCAGGTCATCAGGTTTGGCAGCAAAGAACATTTACCTACTGAGTCATCATGCTGGCTCTAAATATCAAGGTCCCCAGTCAAGTTTTGTTCTTCCTGTGACTCAGTTTCCCCACACATAAGAGGAACACTGTGCCCAGTGCATAGCAGTGACTCAATATATCTTAGTGGTTTTGTTTTAATAAAGACAAGTATACAATGGCACTTGGTACGGAGCAAATGCTCAGTGAACGTCGCCCTACTGCAGGATGAGCTCACACCAGGGTGGGTGCGTAGCGTGTTCATACACTGTGACTATACAGTGTCCCATGCTTGTAACCCCAGCCACTCAGCTAAAGCAGAAGCTTCACCAGTGCCCTCAAAGGACCGAATGCCCACTCTCATAGTGGTAAGTTTTAAAATGTGGCCTTGCTAACAAATCTGTCAACTGGTCAAATAGCTCAAGCTTCAGGAGTATCTGCTGTATTCCTCAAAAATTGTGGGAATGAAAAACTGTAGATGTCAGAACTCCTACACGGGGCTGAAGTAGTCAAACACCCTCTTAAGGACATGATTGGCATTGGACTGAGGAATCGAGGGAACATTTAAAATGCCAGGAGCTGTGCACAAGTCCAGAAGTGATAGAACAGGGAAATAAACAAGGTACAGAGATGGCCTGGCCTACTAAGAGGTCTTCTTGCCTGTCTTTAGGGTCTCTCCATGCAGTTCTAGCTGTCCTAGAGTTTGCTCTGTAGACTAGGCTGGCCTCTGCCTCCCAAGTACTGGAATTTAAGGCTTTTGTTTTTTAGGCAGGGTACTGATATTGCTAAGTATTCCTGGCCAGGATGGTACTTGTTATGTAAACCAGGCTGTCTGAGAAGTGCCAGCAATCCTCCTGCCTCTGTCTCCCAAGTGTCATGGTTACCAGCATGAGCCACCATCCCTTGTATAAAAGACCTTAGGTCCCTCTTCCCCACAAATTCGAAGGGGAATTGAAACTTCTAAAATAAGTGGAAGGGGCCTTCCCACCCCAAAATAATGCAAAAAGTATGAAGCCAGAACAAAAGAGACTTAAGTCCAAATGGATAGGCCTTTAAGTAATTGTCCATCTTTAACGCTAGCCACTTGTCCTGTGTGCCAGAATAGGATTTGATACTACGTTACAAATGTTAAAAGTAGAAAACAGGGAGCCAGTACAGACTTTCCATATGCGTCCTTCAAACCAGTCGGGCCCAGTAAGGCACCTCAACCCAGACTTTCATAGCTCCTGGCTGCTAGTGACAGTGGGCAACTGGCAGGCCTCCCCCGACAGCCGACCGCGCGGGGGCGCCTCTCCTACCGAGCAGCTTGCTGGTCTGGATGTCGATGGGCACGTGCTGATGATCCTGGTGGGAAATAGGACAGGTAGGAGGGCGTGAACGCGGGAAGGCGATGTGCCTCGCGCGCGCTCATTTCACAGACCCAACCGCCACCCTGCAGGACCAGAGCGCCCGGCTGAGGACACGAGGAGTTGAGGATGCAAGACAGGGGTGCCAGGGCAGACCCCAGCTTCTCCACCCTGGTTCCCACACCTGCATTCTTTCTCCACTTCCGCTTCCGGCCAAGACCCCGGCCCGGCCCGGCACCAATCCTGAGCCGGCGTGCCCGAGCCTCAGTTCAGAAACAAACCGGCCTCCTTCAGCCACGTCGTCGTCTTCCGCGGAGCCAATCCGAGCCCACGCTCCGCCCCCGCTGAAATCCCCGCCCATCGAGAGGTTCTGAATGGCTGAGTATCGGATAGGCGGGAGAATAGCGGACAGCCAATGGGAGGCGAGAGGCGGGCTCGGGCACCGTGAGTTTCTGGAAGGGCTCTAGCGCTTGCGCGATGGCGCTAGGGGGCACCCAAGAGCCGGGGTAGGCGGCTCTTCCCCTGCCGGGCGCAGAGCCCCCTGCTGGAGAACGAACACGTCCGCGGACAGGGTCCTAGCGCCGTCCGGATGGCTTTTTGAAAGCAGTTGAAATTACTTTCTTCCCTCTCTTCCTCCAGTTACCAACTATAGAAGATCATAAGCGCTTGACATTCTTTGTCCTCCCATTTCGTTTATCTGATAGACATGGGTTTTAAGCACCTGATTCTTGTTGGGAGATTAGGGAAGGGAGAGGAAGAGACACTTGCATTGAGTATTAGAGGCAAAGCTTCAGAAGGAACTTTATGTGTTCCCGGTGGAAGAGGCTGGACAAACTTTACAGACCACACACTGTAAAAGGAGCTCAGGAAAAAGACTGTCAGGGGAGACTGGCAGCGTATGCATGGTCCAACACGAAGTGGAACGCAAGATTCCTTGTTTAAAAATTAGGATGGATTTCAAGAAGACACTATATAGGTCTCCTACCTATGGCTGATCTTCGGCCCACCTCTATGCAGGAAAAGGTTTAAGGCAGGGAATGACCTGAGAGGAGGTTCTAAAGTGTAAAGGTCATATCAAAGGGTCATATCAAAGAAGGAACTTGGACTTCACCCCTGTAGATAAAGAGGAACCACTGAAAAGTTTGGGACAAGGAAGGACATGCACATAATTGTTATAAGGATGGGTTAATGGGAGAAAAGACTGGAGACAGAGCAACTAGAAGGAGGCTGAAATGCAGAGGTTGGGGCCAGACCTAGGGCAGAAGCTGTGGGGAGGAGATGAACAGAACTTGAAAGATATTTAGGGAGAAAATGGACAGGACTTGGCAATAGATTGACTGAGTGAGTGAGGAGAAAAACACCAAAAATGACACTCAAGCCAGGTAGTGGTGGTACTCACCTTTAGTCCCAGCACTCGGGAGGCAGAGGCCAGCCTGGTCTACAGAGTGAGTTCCTAGGCTACACAGAGAAACCTTGTGTCAAACAAAATAAATGACACTCAAGTGTTGGGCAGGAGTATCCCCACCTGAGGCAGCGATGCAGGAGGCTGAGCGTGTGTTGGAGAGGAGGGGCTTTGAATTGGTAGAGATGGCACAGTTGGGAAACCATCTAGTGGAAAGTACTCAGAAAGCACCTGGGTCTGTACTTAGACTGGAAAGAAAGACAGCTTGGAAGGGCATGAACTGAGGCTTTGTCGTGGTTCAGTGACAGCTTCATTCAAGGGAGTGATTCAGATTTGGACAAGAGGTGGGTAGAGTGAAGAGAGAAAATGAGATGAAGGTCCCAGGGACCTCACAGATCTGGGGATGGCATTCCTGAATGCTGCTTCCTTCTTCACTCTCCCCAAAACAGCACAGCATCCAGGGCTGAGTAGGTTCTGGACTGAACTACCAGGTCTGGTACAGTAGTGTGTAGACCTAGATTCTGGCCCTGCGAGATTTTGGACAGTTTCCACACTTCTCCGATAGCCACTGTTCTCTTAGCATAGAGATAACAGCCTATCTCCGGGTAGTTGTTTAGAGGCTTAAATAAATAAACATACTAAAGGTTCAGGATGAGGGGTGGAGCTTAGTTGGTGGAGTGTTTGCCTAGGACACATGAACTCCTGGGTCCCATCCCCAGCACCACACAGGACCAGAAACGGTGGCACATATCTGGAATCCCAGCACTTGGGAGGTAGAGGCAGGAGGCTCAGACAGTCAAGGCCATCCTGGACTACATAGTGATTTTGAGGACAATCAGTGTCAAAAAAAAGAGAGAGGGAGAATTAGGAGGCTGGAGAGATGGTTCAGGTAAGAACATTGGCTGTTCTACATGAGTTCAATACCCAGCACTCACAACCACCTGTAACTCCAGTTCCAGGGGAATCTGACACCTTCTGGCCTCCATGAGCATGAGACATCCACATGGTACACAGACATACACACAGGCAAAACATTCATACATCTAAAATAAAAATAATAAGAAAAATTTAACGTTCAGAACTTTTTACAGTTGACAACATATTATAGATATGCAATCTCGTACTTCCTAAACTATACATAAATAAAATATTATATATAATCATTATTATTATTACAGAATAAATCAACAGGCGGCCCTGGAAACAGTCTGCAGGGGAGAACTAAGGGCCTCTTTGAGGCCCTCATAAGTACTTGGCTGCCATCTCAGAATCCTGACTCACGTATTGCTAGGACTCCCCTATGATTAAACAAACACTTACTGGGTTCCAGTCATGCACTGCAAGTTCCCTGGGACATCCCAAGACGCCCAGCACTGCCACACCTTCTAAGTGTATCTCTCCTCCTTGAACCAACAGGCGGGCACAGTGGGCAAGGCCAGTCTGGTAGACCCAGCCCTGGTGAGTCGGTGAAACAGAGACCACCAAACCCTTCGCCTTCACCCACAGCCCCCAGGATGACTCATGGGGAACACAGGGTGTTTGAGAGTAGTTCTGCCTAGCTACTGACCCCAGGGAAAACTAGCCCAGAGAGCTCAGCCAGGTGGTGTTCCGTGGCATTCTGCACTTTTCCAAGCTCACAAGGCACTTGAGGCCTTCAGGCAGAATTATGACCAGGTTATCCAAGTCATTAACTTTGCCAGCTTCGGAGGCTTCAGTTGTTGAGTTCCTAGAAAGGAGAGGATAAAGGAGATTTCTGATCGTGAATCTCTGATGTCCCTGATGATTTAGAGGAGGGAGACTATGTGCATGGAGATGAAGAAGAGGACAGAGTCAGAGCTGGGCAGGCTTTGCAATGGGGAAGCGTAGAGCCCCGCAGTGCATGTGCCATGTGTGTGGGCTGCCCTGCCCTTATTGTTAGCTCAATCATTGAGTGATAACCACCTGCCAGTGTAGATCCGATGTTTTACAAGCTGTATTTAGTTCGGTCCTTGTAGCAACTCATGGTGTGGATGCTATTATTAGCCAAGTTAAAGGCAAAGGATCCAACGCTTAGATTATTATTTATCCAACATCAATACAACTGGAGCGGTGGGTTGGGATTCAAGCCCAGGCTATGAAGGTTCCTCCGACTTCCTTCTTGTTCTCTGTGTGACACACCTATGCCTACCCCACTGGCTCAGCCAACACTGCTCTCTACCCATCCTTCACTGGTCTTCAAGCGTATTTCTACACTCTCCCTAGTTGCTGTGTCAGATTCAGGGCTATCACTCTTGAAGTCTCTCCCTTACAAAGTCCTTTCTTACCACACCCAGTGGTAAGTTGGACCAGTGCCCATGGCTTATCTTGAAATACCCATAAGATAAGGCCTTACCTTTGACATCCAAATGACCTGTATATGCATCCTATGTATATTACTTTATGGCCTGAACACTGGGGTGTGTGCCCGTGTGCCCGTGTGTGTGTGTGTGTGTGTGTGTGTGTGTGTGTGTGTGTGTGTGTGTAAGAGAGGGAGGAGAGAGAGAGGGAGGGAGAAAGACAGGAGGGGGCAGGAGATGGAAATGGAGAGAGAGAGAGAGAGAGAGAGAGAGAGAGAGAGAGAGAGAGAGAGAGAGAGAGAGAATATCTCTTATATCTCTTGGAAGCCCTGGAAACTTAGCAACCTTGACCGGACATCTGGTTGTTTTGGTTGTATCTCTGTGTTGTTATTGTTTTCAGTTTATCCTCAACTGATTTGTGAGCACCCTGTAGGAAGTTTTTTACCAATTTGTTCACTTCTATAACCCAGTACCTGGCAGGATCCCTGCCATGTAGTGACAGTCGCTTACACAAAAAGGAAGGATGCGGTGTGCTGTTTATAGGGAGGCTTTTAATGACGGTGATGGTTGTGATTCATGCTCTAGGGGAAAGGGCTTCAAGGTCTCCAACTCCCTTTCCCCTCCCTTTGCAGGTCAAGATATGGAGCCAACTCCCTCTTGAGCCTCTTGGGAGTCAGGGAAAGGGAAATTGGGAAGAAATTAGGGCTGATTGGCTCCCCAGGTTAAACATAGGCCACAGAGGTCTATAAGTCCATAGGCCACACAGTATCCATCATTTGAGTTGTCCCCAGGGCTACTGACTGTACTCTTATCTTGATTGGCCATGCCCTCTATCCCTTCACTTTTATCCCGGGGTGGCCTCATGAACTTGGCCCTTTGTATCATCCCTCAGGAATACCACTGTGTTCATTTGTATACTCTCACATTGACAGGGGAGTGAATCTTATCGACCAAGAAAGAAAACTAAGTCCATGACTAAAGCACCCTCTATCTGCCTCCATTCCCATGTAGGCCCACATCTGCTGAGGACCAATGCTGGGGCCCTTAACTCAAAAACACAGTGCTAGTGCTGGAAAAAAAATATGATGTGATGGGTCTGCCACACTCTGCATCCCATGAAAACTCCCTGGAGATCAGGACTGTGTTGGTTTATCAAAAGTGCTTAAATAACCCCATACGAGCCAAGTGGGGAGCGTGCATAGAGCAGAAGGGGAGTAGATAATTGAACTCCCACCCAAAGGATCACAATTGGTCACACGCAGAGTGGAAAGAAATGAGGTCAGAGAAGTTGACACAGATGGGTCATGAAGAGGAGTCCTCAGGCCAACAATTGGGCAGAAGCTGAAGCCTGTGGACAAGTGATCCCACCTAGAGGGCAACAGGTCCCTGGAAGGCTGTGGATTGTCTAAAGGACCTAAGAATCTGTAAATGGGTTTCCTTTCTTCCTCTCCACCCCCTACCCGGTGAATACAGTTCAGATTTTCTATATCCAGAGAGGATCAATCACGTCCTTAAACAGGAAGCCCAAATGGCCAATGCATTCTTAGTGAGTGCCTACGGTTTTTCTGGGAGAATACCACAAATCTGGCCTGAAATCAAGGCAGGTTCCCAGGTGAT